GGCGTCAGGGGCGTGCGGGGTGGGGCAACGCGGACGCATGAATGGCGCTGGGCGGCGGCGGCGGGCCTGCCGCTCCACTGGACCTGCCTGCTTTGCTTGTAAAGCCAGGGCCGACCACCTCAGGGTGGGCAACTTTTGACATGTCATTTTATCGAGCCAGACTGGCGCCATGCCATGTGTCTCGGCTGGCATCATGCACCAGTATCAGGCGGCCAGGCCCTGCCGGGCAGCATAGCGCGGGGGCCGTCCTTGCCACCAGGTACCGAATCAGATCTCACCTGTGCCTGCACAGAGTAGGTGCCCTGAGGGTACTGCTGCGGCGCCGCGAGCAGCGTCCCGTTGACCGCGGTCAGCAGCGCGGTGGTGGCCGTCGTGCCGAGGGAGGCGGTGTCAAAAAACCCGGTGGCTGAGGTGTCGAAGATGTTGGCACCGATGCTTACTGAGCAAGCTGACGTGGCCGAGGTTGCTGTGACGTTGACCTGCACGTTCTTGCAGACCTGAGTTTTTCCAAGTGTTCCGGGGTGATGCAGGGTCGATGGTGAGCTCACTCGAGTGAGGGTTGATGAAAAGCAGCGCGCAGCAGGAACGCGGTGAAAGGAGGACGGAGGAGGTCAGGTCGCTGTTGGTGTGAATTCAATCCGGCAGCTTTTGGTATGCCGCATCTCAGCAGGGGCTGAGAGGGGCTAGTCCCCTTTTGGAGGGGTACATATGTACCCTTTCAGAGGGGTTCGCCCCTGGAAGGGGCCCATTCCAGAAGGGTGCGCATATTCCATCCCTCTGCACAGGGTGCTGGACAGCAGGCCCGACAATGTGCAGCTAGTGTTGAACACGCCCCCCAGCCGTGTGTCGGTGCTGCCGGCAAGCACGCGTGCAGCAGCGCTGCCAGTGCGAGCCGACGGCTGGCGCAGTGCGAACTCTAAGTGCCCCCAAATGGTACGGACAACACATCCTTCCTGTGGGGCAGTCATGCAATCACACAGTGACAGATGCTGCCCTGGTGGATGGAGACGCTCTGCCAGTGCCCGGCCCCACCGCCTTGCACATATCAATGAAACAATGGAGCAGCCTAGCAGCACGCACCGGCGTGCAGGGAGTGATCTTGGCTGTGCCGGTGCAGGAGGCACCGCCGCTGCCAGTAACGGTGAAGTTGTAGTCGGTGCCTGCAATCGCGATGTCGATGAGATTGTGTTGATTGGAACTGCAATACTATTGGTGCTAGCTACAACATCATTGGTGTTGCACTTTCATTGAGGGTTGACGGGGGGCTCAGACCCCAGTGAGCTGTCTGCAGTCTACCAAATTGCTTGTCAGCAGGCTTGCGACGTGCTGGATTGGGATGTGTGCAGATATATATATATATATATATATATATATATATATCAAGACTGGACATGCTGTGCTTGGCTGGAGGTGCGTGGCGCCGTCAGGCAATTAGACTGTAGTGCACTTCAAGATGCAGGGGATGTGAGGCAATGCATGCAATGCAATGCAGGAGCGAGGTGCCGTCCAAGGGAGGGCGGCTTCCCGCCTGGCACAACGCAGGGTTGGCGCCTCCCGGCCAATGCTCATGTGCTGTGCACACGCCCGAGCTGTGCGAGCGTGCGTGGGGTTGTGATGGTTTCAGGTAGGGCCGGCCTGCTTGCGCGATGCAGGAAAACGCACCGGCCAAGAAAACGTACTGGAGCTTGCCGCCCACACGAGTGCTCGTGGGCTGGGCGCCGAAGAAGGTCGCGACATCATTGGTTGTCCCGTTGGTGGCGGCCCAAAGATTGTCCTGGGAGCGCAGACGAGGGTGCATAGGTTGGATTGCAGACGTTGATGTGGACGCCGTTCGCGCTGTTCACGCGCGGCCTGAGGCATGCACGGGCAGGGCGGAAGTGTTGGCCGGCATTATTGGGCATGCAGATGCTCGAGCGAGAATCACGGTCGGCACGGATGATGGGGCGGAAGGTCTCAGAGGTGGAGAAATTTCTGCACTCCACCATCCAAGGGAGCTAACATCACCTGGCTGACGCTGGTAGAATTGCAGCCGCTGCCGTCGGGTGGCTGCGCCAGGGTTGCTGCGAACTCCTGACAGACGAGGGCGGCACGGGCCGGCAGCGTGCATGCGGCCAGCAGCACGACAAAGGTGAGTGCCATGCGTCTCATTGCTCGTTCCATCAGTAGAAAAAGCTACCTGCACGGGGTTGCGTGGGGGGTCGCGGTCCTCAGGACTCCGGCTGCGTTTGACTTGCAGCCGCGGTGTCACCAAAGGCGTTAATGATGATAAATTGCAGCATGCAGTGTCCAATGACGATACATGTAGTACCGTGAGGCGCCTGCAGCGGGCACCACCGTGCGTAGGTCCTCGTGGGTCTGCCGGCAGTAGTAAAGCTATGGGGTAAATCTGCATGCATGCATGCTACACTGGGGTTTGTGTATATGCCTGCGTGCCACCGTGACAGGCGCTTTTAATCGTTCATGCGTCTCTTTTGCATGCACCAGGTGTCCGGCCACCTCGTGACCTCTGGTGGCCGCACGCAGGTCAGGTTATTGCGGCTGCTGAAGCATTCAGTAATGCCGAAGAAACATAAGATTCAAAGCGCTTGCAACGTCGCGTCAACACGCGGGGGGTGGCCTTCTCAGACGGATGCGTTTGCACAACATGTCCGATGCCAGCCCACGAATCGAAGTACGGCCAATATAAGCACCGAATTCCTGTGCACAAAAAATTTCGGGCGCAATCCAGCGCCGTTCGCATAGGCAGACGCGGCGGGCCATGGTGGGAGTCACCGCGTTGATCGTGATTGACCACAAAGCAAGGCCTGATGCGCTGATTCACTGTAAGAATGTTGTTGTATATGTATCTTATGCACATTGATGCCACAGGAGTTCAGCGGCGCGGCCAGGGGCAGCAGAAGCATCGCGCACCGGCCCCATCCACCCGCCACAAGCCGCCGGCTGGACTAGGAGGGCGATGCCATCGGGTTTATCTGGGAGTTTACACCCTCCCCCTTGCAGGGACCCAGCTGCAAAATAACTTGTATGAATCACACAATCATCCTTGCTTCGTCCCTGCATGTGTGCATGCTGCGGTGGAGATTATCAATCTTATCACGCAGACCCAAAGTGCTGCCGTGTTCCGTCCTTACTCAACTCAGAGTTGAAATGCTCAAGTAGCCAGGCTGCAGTACGAGCACTGGGCCAGCCGTTACCCACGAACAAGAAAACTCTAGCTGTTTGTGTGGATTGGCTGCCGTGCGCTGCCACAAAATCAAAGGGCTTCATGCACATTCAAATCCTTGTGCCAGCTGAAATTGCACTGCCCAAAATCGCACTGCCCCGTTGGTGAAAAGGGGCTGCAGGCTGCAGCTTCAGATATGTCCAAAAACAAACGAGCAGCGCACTGATTGGCATTGGCGGTCAGCTGCAGCAGTGCCCAGTGGGTGCTGATGTTCAACAAAGATGCATGTTGATGGGTTGTGTTCCTGCTGGTTGCCCGTGTGCACAGACACAGCACACAAATGTAGTGGCAGAGCAAATGTACATACGGCTTGCATCAACATGCAGGAAAAACCACCAGCGACAGCAAGCGCGTGTGGGTGGATAAAAAAACCGCTTCAAAGCCGCCTTCATGGGCCGCACAGGCGACCTGCAGGTGCCAGGTGCGCACCTCGCCAGCGAGCCCCCCCCCCCCGGCAGCGCCCACCGCGCGCATGCCTTGTGCTCTGTGTGTGTTCTCTGTCACGGGTCGAGCGCCCGCAGCCCGGGCACGGCTTGTGGGGTCGCGGGTTGAGCGTCAAAAGCCAGGGCCGCGATCGGGCAGCATCGGCGGGCGATGGGACGTGAGTAAATGATGTGTTTCAGCTTGTCATCAGATCCGCCACTACCAGAGGGCACGAGCACCCTAGGTCATGGCTGCCGAGCTGCGGCCAGGCAGCGCCGGCGCCGCCACGCGCGGCCCTACGC